CCGAGCGCCCTCCGAACGGAGCGGGGCGCTGCCAGCCGGCTGCGGAGCGGAATTGGAGGCAGAGGCTCCTGCGCGGCGCTCTTCCTGGGACCCAGGAGCCTGTGGGAGTCCCGACCGCACGTGCCCCAGCACCTGCCCCACAGAGAGCGCTGGGGCCTGGGGAGCCTTGGGCGGACCAAAGCCAGTGAGGGCCGCTTGAAGGAGGTGTTCCACGCCGTCTGCTCAGGGAAGAGCAGCCCGGGGAGCCTAGGGGCGCACCTCCCCACTCACACAGCGAATCCGCCCCCCAGGCAAGGCCAGAAAAAAAGAGTGGAAGAGGGAGTTAACTCAGCAAGAATAAGTCTTCCAAAACCGTACCCCTAAGAAAAGCCAACCCACTCCTGAAAATACAGCGCTTTCCTCCCTTCTGGAGGCGCCCCGCCCCTGTGCCACCCGGCTGCCACTTGGACTGGCAAGCATGATCTTCTGCAGCCTCCACTGGGAGGAAAGGCTTGTCTTGTCTGTCACCAGCTGTGTGAACTTGGCCCAGGCACTGAGCCTTCCTGAGAGGGCGAGTCCACTAATTAAAGTCCCTCCAGCTCTGTGCTGCTGTGGGTCAAGTCACCCCTTCCCACGTTCCTTCTAGACGTCCAGCTGCCAGAGGGCAGGCAGGCAGCGCATCTTCAGTTAAAACAGCCTCCCAGTCAGCCATTCGGAGCTCCTAGAAATGTACTAAGTATTCACTGAAGCGGTGTTTGTTGAGCAACATCAGCCATGGGTGGCTCCCTATCCCTGCCTGGATGGAGGACCTCCTCATCAGCGTGAATTCAAGACCCCCATCCCAGCAGAAGCCAGGAGGGCAGGGCATTGAGCCATAAGCACCACACTGCAGTTCCAACTGTTAACATTGGTATTTGTATGTCCTCCCTTACCCCCACCCTGCACCCGCCCCACCCTCACCCCCTGCCCTACTGCTCTATAATCTTGCAACTAAAGGGTTGGTGCCTAGAGCCATACAGGCCTTCAGACTCTGTGCCCCAGGGGCCAGGACCAGCTCTAGCTGGCAGGTGCTCAGGTCATGCTATTTGTTACAATGTTGAGTTTCACTAATCTCAGCTGCAACCATACAGGTGACCCGGTGCCTTCTGACAGCCATCCCCTACCCCAGGTGCTAATGCCCCACCCGAGGCCAGCAGCCCTTCACCTGAACCCTTGTCCCACTTGGGACCTCTCTGCAGGCTTCTTTCAGTCTGCCTGACAACAGCGACAAATTTCCTTACATTGAATAATGTCTTTTAAGGCCTGGGGCTGGGTGTCATTCCTCTCTCTTGTAGGGCTAAGCACTCTTCCTTTCTTTTCCAGGACAATTGTTTAGTCCTACCACTTGAGCTGTTCAATTTTAGGCTGGAAGAAGTTGAGGGGGGGGGGAGCTCTGTTGACTACAGAATTGTCAAATACTCAATAATCCATCTTCCCACCACCCCAGTATACCCTCCGCACCCTTTCCTTCCCCAAGAGTCTTCCTTCCTGGTCTTGCATGGGAAAGCAATATTCCTGTGGTCAGTAAATTCTATAACTGCTTGTTTGAGTAGAGAAAACAAGTCTCGAGCAAGCCCAAGACAGTAAGGATCCATGAGTGGATTTCTGTGTCTAAAGAAAATGTCCCTAAGAAGACAAAGACAGACACACCAGGTATTCAGCTAGAAGGACCCTGCCTGGAAAATGACCCTGGGGTTGAATGAAGGAAGACTCCACACATCATATAGAGACAGAGGCCAGGTGAGTCGTGCAGAAGGTAGAAAATTGAGAGAGAAAGGGCAGCAAGACTCCCGTAGCCACATCAGTGCCCACGGGGTCACTGGATTACCCCGGATATCTGAGTGATGCTGATCAACCCCAGTTAATGCTCTTCTTTGAGGGAGGGTTAGGAGCTTGAGTTCAGTTGCAGCGCAGTGTTGAGTGAGTCCTCAGGACTCATGGCCACGTGACTGACTTGCTTTGCATGAAGATGGTATTTATGGGGAAAAGTACATGGATGATTTGAAAAACACTTTTTTTTACATTTCAATATTTTATTTTTTTAATTTTGTTTTATTGCTTAAAGTATTACAAAGAGTATTACATATGTCTCCTTTTTTTTCCCCTTGACCTTCCCCCGGCCTCCCCTACCCCCCAGTGTCTTGCGTCCATTGGTTATGCTTATATGCATGCATACAAGTCCTGATCTTTTACCCCCCGCCCCGCCCCAACCCTCCCCGGCCTTCCCGCTGTAGTTTGAAACCACTTTTAATTGACTTTATAATTTAAAAATTGTCGGAGACCGTTCATCTGCAGTCTCCTCCGATCACCAACAAGGGGTGTGTCTAAGGTGACAGGGAACAGTTAGACCTCCAGGTTAGGGTTGCAGATATATTTTGATGCCTCTTTTTGGCCTTCCCAGAACACCTGTGCTCCTCCCAGACATTACATATAACACAATTTTCTGAAATTGTTGATTTCTTTGTTGTATTCTCTATGGATTATCAACTTTTGGGGAGCATAGAATTTATCAGAGAGTAGGTATGCCAAAAAAGGTTTACTGAATAAAGTAACATCATTGCCCTTATTTCTCATAGGGGAAATAATATACCAATGACTCACTATGAGTATGATAGGAAAAGTAAATTTTCTCCAAAACAAAATGTGTAGTCTTAGAATGTTTTGTTCACCCTTCGTTACTAAGAATGGAAGGCCAGTGGGGCATATAGGGATTTATTGGAAGTCCAGGAGCAGAACCGAGCCTTGGGAATGGAGTGAAGTCTTGTGGAGAACCTAAAATACTGTCTCTCCTTTCTCTATCTCTTGGCTCCACCTCCATCTTTATCTCTCTCTCTCTCTCTCCCTCTCTCTCTCTCTCTCTCTTTCTCTCATCTTTCTTTCTCTCCTAGGTACATCTGCATTATTGTTTTGCTTACTGCAATCTAATTTTCTGTGATGCCTAGAAGGTATACAATGGCAACTCACACACCCAATTGTTACATATAATAAATAGATCCATCCACCCAGGGGATACCCCAAAACCCCAGGGAAGAGACTCATTGGTGTATCTGGCATCAGATATGCCCACCCATCGACCAGAGAAGCAGCATACAATGCACAGACAACCGAGTCCTGGCAACCAGGTATGTCATAGGAGCAGGTGGCGGGGAGGGGAGGAGAGGAAGACAACTCCTAGAAAAGTGGTGTAAGCAATATGAGCTGAAGTGGAAAGGGAAAGATGCAAATCAATTTGTATTGTGTGATTCTATGTTAAGAGTCTGTAGGTAGGTCTGCTCAGATATGGATATCTGACTAAGCAGAGGGAAAAAATATGAAAAGCTAGACAGCAAATTGTCAATTTTAGAGGAATGCAATAGAAGGGAAGGAAACCTTATTAATTGAACTTAAGATATTTACTATTTGAATGGCCACAGCAATTATATATTATACTAAGACCTGGTGCACAAAATTTGTGCACAGAGGAGGAGGAGGTTTCCACACAGCCTGCTTGTTCAGTCATTTTGTCGTCCCTCACTAACCACCCTGCCATCTTGGTCGCCCCACACAGCCTGCTTGTTCAGTTGTTTGGTCATCCCTCACTAACCCCTCTGCCAGCCTGGTTGTAGGCAGCCATCTTGTGCAGGTATGAGGGTTAATTTGCATATTACCTCCTTATTATATAGGATTGTGATTCACATTTAAAGAACAATTTTAAAGGAAAGAGGTTCTGAGTAGACCATTCAGTAGGAATCTATTACATGGAACTTTTTTTTTCATAATTTAAGCTTAATTAAAGTTTGGAGAGAAAAAGGAACTAACGTTCTTTCCCATACGTGGCATTGGTTGAAGAGCAATTTTCTTTCTTTTGTTATATTGATCCAGCTCTAAAAACTCATTCACTCAAAGGCTAGGAAAATGCCCAGGCGTGTAAAGCCTCACAGTGCGTTTAAGAAAAAAATTACATGGAAACTGGTAAAGCTCATGAGTAATATCAAAATTTCTGATTGCATCTTAGATTCAACTTGGCTCTTTATAAACCGTGTTAGACCTGAGTCCAGTGCCAGGGGCGTGGTGAGTGCCCGACCACTTTAGTTCCTGTTGCATACATAGGGAGCTCTGCATGTAAGGACCTAACCAACAGTTCCCACTTGTCAGAAGCTGCTGGGAAGACCATTATCAATGCAGACCCTGAGATGACGTCTGCCCATGAACTGGGCATCTGTGTATGTACTAGCACACGGCTGAAGCTGAAGCAGACAGTGTTTTAGTGATGCTGCTGGTGGCGTGCATCCACCAAGGGTCCATCTGGAGTCAGACCCACTGGCCCTTTGGTTAAAAACAGGGTATTTAGGTCCTGGCTGGCGTGGCTCAGTTGGCTGGGAGATATACAGTGTTCCAAAAGGTTGCAGATTCAATTCCCCATCAGGGCACACATCAAGGTTTTAGGCTCGAGGAGGCAGCTGATGCATGTCTACCTCTCCCATTGATGTTTCTATCGCTCACCCTCACTCTTCCTCCTTCTCTAAAGATCAATTTTAAAAATCTTTAAAAATAAACATACACAAGATATTTAGAATCAGCTTCATCTCCTACTTTATGACCCTGGGGAAAGTTACAAACCTTCCTTCAGCCAGGAAAATTGCAATCATAAAAATAATACCCAGTCCATAGCTGGTTGTGGGATTTGATTGGGGAACTATAAGCAGGGCACTTTGCACAGTATTGGGCACACAGGAGGTGTGTAATTAAAGGTTGCAATTAATTTATGAAACATATTAATGACCAAAGGGGAGTGGTGCCTGGGGGCCCACCAACTATTGGGGAACAATGGCTAGGACCTAACTCTCAGGCACTG